TCGGAGATCCAGTTTATGACTTCCACCGGCATCGGGCTTCCAGATAGACTCGGTGGTTTGGACGCCATGAAATCCTTGTATTTGCATCCACGTCCATCATTTCCTCCATCCTGGTGGTTTTGCCTAACTATTGGTGGGTTGGCTTGACCAACAGTCCCATTGTAGTTTCCCTCCTCAGTCTGCCCTTCGTTCAACTCGGGCTGTTCGATCTGAACGGTCGCTTCCTCTCGATTTTGCTGGAGCAAACGCCTAGTTTCCTCCATTTGACGATCCAACATCGCTTGGATCATCGCTTGCACTCCGGCCATTGAGACTGGCTCAGCAGCAGCTTCCATCACCGATATTTGCTCAATCACTGGGGGTTGGTTTCGGTTCCCATTCGCATTTACGTTTCCGCTACGGGTTCTTGCCATCTTGATCTCTACACCGAATAAGGTGAATCTAGACCTTTACTTAGGATTGATGTTTAAATCATCCTTATCACTCCGAAACGTTTATATGCTAGTTCTAATATCGTATTCATACGTTTAGAATCCTAGACACATAAGGTTTCCAGATCCGGTTGGCAACAGACCATAGATCCGATCAAACTATAGCATCATTTAGCACGTAAAAGGAATTTAGGCATCATTCCTAAAATAAGCTAGTGCTTGTGTCTATTCATGTGCATTACCTAAATCTATTTGACACACTCCTCACAATCATTACTTAGCATTCTAAGTTTAAGTCTAGAAATAAATCCATATTCCTAGTTCGCTTAAACTAATGCTCTCATACCAACTGTGACACCCCAAAATCATGGCCAGAAAAGACCGATTTTGTTTATGCTTTATAAAAATCAGAGTACTTCATTTTATAAAAAGGTTGCGGAATTTGTTCCCAGAAAAACACGATAAATACGTTATTAAAACATTTTTGAAGAAACGTATTTTTATTCATCTTAAAACGTTTGGGATGTCATCGTTAATACAGAAACATAAGCATAAACAGAACTTACAATTATTTACACTAGTGATCTACATCTCTTTAAATCTCTTAGTGTAATGTCACTTCATATCGCCACCTGTGATGTAAATGAACTGAGTGGGTCAGGTTGGGAAACCTGGTGAGTACATAGGGTTTTCAACCCACAATAATATAGTTATTATGTTTAAACAATCAAACAATCAACCCAATTACCCATCCCCATTATCTTCTTTTAGTCTTCCCTAAAGATATTATCTCAAGGGTCATCTCCTATATCATATTTACTTCTCATCTCCTTACATCGTATTTCCTTACATGATTGTTCCTACGAACTTTACCTAAGGATCATCGCCTACATTGCATAGACAATACTAATCCGAGGATTACTCCCTCAATATGTGTCTAGCAAGAGTTAGGGTATCATCGCATGATTACGCAGCTACAACATCGCCTGGACTTGTAAATCATGATAAGGGTTAGTCTATCATCACATGAATACGTAGCCACAACACCGCCTGGACTCGTAATTCATAATAAGGGTTAGACTATCATCGCATGAATATGTAGTTACAACATCGCCTGAACTCGTAATTCATCACCTACAGGTTACTAGCCTGCTGGTGTTTCCACGGGGTTGTCTATAATAGTCCGCGGTCGCCATCTATACTCTGGTAGATGACTACATCTCCAAATTGTCGGACAAGGTTGTAGTATCCTATATCACCGATTCATAATCACCTATCTATCATCACCTTCCTATCATCACCTATCTCTCATTATTTTATTTCATACTCTCAAAACGATATTCCTTCGATAAAACAGCGGGTTTTTCGCAAAGTCGGGCTTCGCTGGAGCAGTGTTCCCAAGCCGAAAGACCCTTTTTCTCGGGACTCCGGGAGCCTCAGGGCTTCCTTCGGGTGCTAGGGGGTTTACCTAGGCTTTTAGGGGCTTAAGGGAGCTTAGAGAGAGAGTTTAGAGAGAGAAAGAAGAGGGGTGAGGGGTGAGGAAATGAGGGAACCCGGCACCTCTATTTATAGGGGTGGAATCTGATGGACTCGCCGAGTAGGGGGGACCTACTCGCCGAGTTGGTCCATGTGGTGGCCTTCAGGTGGTGCCACGTGTCCAATTCTGGTGGTGCCACGTCACCCCTATCGCGTATCAGCCCTCAAACTTAGAAAAGTCATAACTTTTGCATACGAGCTCCGTTTTCGACGTTCTTTATATCCACGCGTAGGTAAAATCAAGATCCACAACTTTCTTTTAGACTCCGTCGGCTAATTCTCGACCGATCTCAAATTTAACAGTAGGAGGCGATTAGACTGTTAAATGACCGCGAAGAGTTCATAACTCCTTCATACGGACTCTCGTCTATCTTTTTACCGTTTAGTTCCTATTAATGAGATCTTCAACTCTCAGTTAGGTCACGTAAGCCAAAAACTGCTCGAACTAAAATTCGAGTTTCAGGCCGCGCACTGCTAAGCCGAATCTTAGAAAAATCATAACTTCTTCATACGAAGTCAGATTTGGGTGTTCTTTTTATCGATGTTCTTAGATTAACATATTCTACGAATTTTGTTTAGATTGCTAAGGCTAAAAAGTCTTCTATCGTAAATTCACTATTTACGTCTCCCAGTGCCGTGCCGGTTTTGCCGTAAAACTTCGGCGGACCATAACTTCTTCGTTATAACTCGGATTTTGGCGTTCTTTATATGTACGGAAACCTTGTGACATATTCTAAAACTTGGTTAAGATTATTTATTCTAAATAATCTTTTGTCAAAAAGTAATTTTCAACCCCTATTGCCTCTAAATTGACTAGCCCGTATCTGCGGGCGTTACATCTATAGCCTAGGATACACGAATTTAAAAGTGAGATAATCAAAGAACTTGAATTCTAATTACAGACCTAATCAAAATCAGAAACACCAACTTTTTTTTCCTTAAAACATAATAGAAACACCCAAAAATCATTTCTCATTGAACCATAGTATCAACTTGTTTCAAAACCATAGTTTCGAATCATAGATTGTATCAGGATAATAAAAACAATGGAACTAGACATCATAAAATCTTCAAGGATGCACGTAAGGTACTAGATGAACTACCAAAAAAACAATAAATAAACAACTGTAAGCATAAAGCTTATCAAGTTTCCTAAAATACCACATACCACAACATACATACAAGGGACTCATTAGAGACTCATGGCTCTCATGTCATTCTATCATCGATAGGGACTCACGGCTCTTGTGAGGTTTTGTCATCAATAGGGACTATTAACGTTACCATACGTGGCCATGTTAAACTTAACGGAAAGCACTAACTAGGGCGTTATCTAGCCAGTACCAAGACCGGGACACAGTCTTGGCTCAAGTAGGCTAACGTTGAGGTGGAGGCCGTTTCCTCTCATGAGGATCGGATATTCCTCATAATCTTTTCACTCTCTCACGACCAATCAGGTCATGATAAGGAGCCTGGTGATGCCCGGGACTGACGTCACCTGGCAGTTAGTTATCGGGGGCACACTCCTCTCAATAAGAGGGTGCCACGTCTCAATCCCACATGGGAAAGTCATTTCATTCCATTAGAAACGGGTATAAAAGGATCTCTTCCTGTACAGGGAAATGATCAATGTTCTTCCTCACACAATTTACCCTAAACTCTCTCTAAGAAATCTAACTTGATCGTCGGAGCGACGTCCTAGGAGAACACCCGGTTGTCCTTTAACGATTCTTCTGTGTTGTTTTCTCAGGTAAATTTTCAGGATAGATCCATCATCCAGCTTCCAATCCCCTTTAGAACATGTCATAACATTTGGCTGCATTCAAACGTATCCTCAGAGTGATACAGCCAATAAACAATGCTAGTTCTCTGAAAAAGAGGGATCTAAATCCAACAACACCTGGGACTGTAGTAGAAGATATGTTCAGAATACCGGTGACGATAAACAACGACCATCACCGCGAGTATAGAACATAGGCCCCAATGCAGGTGCTAATGGCACAGATCCCACCGATTACGGTAGAAATAGCAGAGCCAGTACTCCAGAGCAGTTTCGGCAAATGTTGTTGGCAGGTTCGCTGCCTCAAACGACGATACCGCATTCCGATGTGTTGCAGGAACCTCCGTATGACGACTCCAATGTACTTACTATATCTAAGTCTTGGAAGAGAAACGCAACTCATCAGGCGGAGGACGAGATAGGGGTACTCTCGAGAAATCTACTCAATATTAGTTTCTCGAGCAGCGATCCCAGACCATTGAACTGGGACCCATGAGTCCCATTCCTCATATCTGGATTCATTCGTCATATAAAAATCCATCGAATATTGAAGAGTCAAAAAACTCTTAAGATCGATTAGATTCAAACAAGTATGAACAATCAAACACGGAATATGAATCAAGAATGTATCGAATGATTATAAATCACAACCTCAGAAGAGCTCGATAAAGAACGACTACTGTTGAGGTGTGTAGGGTTTACAAATACACGATTAACTAAAACACGATGCATGCATGCACCTTATATAGTAAAACCCTAATCATTTATCACGAGTGGACAGGACCAACTCGGATATACAAAAGACTAATACTCAACAATCTCCCCCTTTGTGTCGATTGAGGCGAGAGTCCTTCACGGCTGAGTTTGCTTTTGCACTTCAAAAACTTTCGGAATGACGACCAACAAAACCTAGCGAACTTGGATATATCATTGAATCATATCCGAAAAGCACTTCTTGTTACTTTTGTTGTTACCCTTGTACTTGTTAACAATGTCGACGATATACTCCAGGCAAGAGGTAGTGTAAAGATGCTTATCAGCAAGAAAGAAGCAAGCCTTATGAAAGTCTGCATCGTTTCGTTCTTTCATCTGAAAGGCCACATACCATCCTTCCTTTTGTATCTTCCCAGGCTACAATTTCTCAAAAACTTTTGGAACTTCTTTAAGGAGTACGCTTGGCTTCCTTCGCACCACAACAACAATCTCCACATCCGTTTTGCCTACCTATATGAATGCATGCGATTAACATCTGCTTAAGGTGAGCAATAACGGGCTAATATTTTTTTTCCATCTCTCAGCAACATGTTGTAAAGCATGATCCACTCATAAGGGGTAAGGCATGGCAGATCAGGGAGGGTGAATTCGTAGACCTGACTAAATGAACCTCTCACAACCTTGAACTTCACATTTGGGAAGCTTTCGGTTTCGATTGTACCGGTGACCTTCACAACTATAATCTTGCTCGCACTCCACGTCTCGAACTGTGGCTTCATATGCTTGAGATAAAACAAGAAAAGTAAGTGATATGCACCGCTATCTGTTGTTGGGACATTCACAACTTTCACAAAGCTGAAAAACCAGAAGGCTTTCGGAGTGATCGGAAGGTCCAGTTTTGAATCTTGTTTACTCTAAAGATCGAATGACACAACGGGCTCCAGCCGATACTTACTCGGCATATCCACAACTTCACTTTGACTTCGCTTTAGAGTCCATACTGGAAATAAAAGCTTCCGGCTTTCCAGCGTGACCTGAGCTTCGCATTCAGTTTTTTCTTTCGCTTCAGTATCACGAATTATTCTTTGATGCTCATCCATCTCAACTTCACGTTCCTTTTTTCTTTTTAGCTCATTTTCATAAGGCTCTTCATCTTCGTTGTTATCAATAATTGGTTCTTCACGAAAATCTTTTCTTTGCCTTTAGGTTTAGTTTTGCTTTTGGGCTTGACAGTGGACATGTCTAAAGGTTTGGGGTTTTCCTTTTTAGATTGTTTTACTTCTTCTCCCCTTTCTTTGGGAATCGAGCATGATTCCAGAACACCTTCAAGTCTGTAAAGCATGGAAAAGACGGGCCTAAGTTTCTCAGAGAGATGCTTCTTTACTGTGACAACTAGAAAATTTTGGGTCAAACCAAGTCTAAGGGGCCTTGTGTATAAGTATATCCACAATGTATATCTATGTAAATTTGATGCAATGATGTTTATTGAAAGCCAAGAGGGAACCATTTGTATGATTAAAGATAATTTACACTTGGAAACTCATGTTGAAATAAACTTTGAAAGATCTGTGCAAATTAAACAAGAATCAAATGGTTTTAACACAAAAACAAGTATTTATGCCATGACCTTGAATTCTCGATTTTTAAGGCCACCATCTTTGTGATTTCTGTTACTCAAGACCGAAAACACATCCATGGGGATCACTACAAGACCGAAATCTCTAGTTATGTCCCATTAAGGCCGAAAACTCTTAAATGCGGGACCGAAATAACTTTCTTGTAAAAGTTTAGGAACGAAATCATCAAAAAGGAGTGTGTACCAAGGGATTTCAGTCATGCCTAGATCGAAATCACCTTCTTTTGTGGCTAAAAACTAAAAGGTGATTCATCCTAGAGTGGTTCCTGTGGGATACAAAGGATAAGGTTTGATTTTCAGATGTGATATCCCATCCCCATTTCCTATGCAAACCCGGTAGTATCCCAAGCAATTAACCACCAAATACCATGTATTACCCAACAGATTACCAAGTAAACTTTACATCATTTCCTTCCCCATCTTCAGGCCGAAATCACTCTCTCAAACACCACCAATTCCATTTCACTTACTGCAAAAACTCCATTTACTCTCAAGAAGTCAGTTTCCAAGCTTTAAAGGGGTTTGAATCTTCAAGCTATATTCTTAGATTTTGGTAAGTGATGTTGAGACTTCTTAAGCATTCTATACATTCTTATGTTAAATTCATCCGATTTACACACACTAAAATTTGTTAAAAACCCTTAGGATAATATCACCTCCAAGGAAGTTCATCAACTTCGTTCAAGAGTTTAGGCAAGAAATCTTCACTTCATCACTTCAAGCAACCCACCAAAACCAATCAAGGTGAGTACATACCCCCATATATTCAAGCTTTTTCATGTTTTTAGGGGGGGATACCAGTAAATCTTTTTCTGTCACACAAATACTTACATGTTTGTATCTTTATGTTAAAAATAATGTATTATTTGCATAAGGTATGATTATCACTACTTTGATATAATATTTGTGATATATTAGTTTTGATATGCAAAGTTAAAAAAAAAAGATACGATACAAATATCATAAGGAAAAGCATGATTCGGAAAACTACAAGGTTTTGGCAACTTTTACTAAAAGATAGCTTTTCTAGCAAAAATGGTTATAATATTTATTTACTATTTTGGTGTGTTACTATCACACCCCCAAACCGAATTGGCGGAAACATTCGGGGGTGGAGGACGTCATGTACAGTATCACAACAATGCATAATAGTAAACAAGCAACAACATCATCCATTTCATGTATAATATATTTTAATACAAGTGTGTTCTGTATAACAGCAAGACACCAAAATTGAATGATCAAAATAAAGACGAGTCTAGCTCCATCGTCACAAAACCTGGCATCGGTACCTGTCTACTGATGACCTGAGAATACAAGTTATTTTGAAAGAGAGAATCAATATTTAAGCTGGTGATTTCATAAGTATTTTAGTGTCATTGTTTGTATGAAAATGTTAGATGTAAAAGTTTATAAATGCTTGTAACTCCTAGAAAATCCTATATTTTCTACTAAAATGTAGCCTTCTACCAAGACCCAAATGTTTTGAATGTTTTTTCTTGTAAAAGTGTGTATTTTTCCAAGTATGACTATCATTATAAAAAATCTTCACTTCATCACTTCAAGGAAGTTCATCAACTTCGTTCAAGAGTTTAGGGAAGAAATCTTCACTTCATTACTTCAAGCAACCCACCAAAACCAATCAAGGTGAGTACATACCCCCATATATTGAAGCTTTTTCATGTTTTTAGGGGGGGATACCAGTAAATCTTTTTTTGTCACACAAATACTTACATGTTTGTATCTTTATGTTAAAAATAATATATTATTTTCATAAGGTATGATTATCACTACTTTGATATAATATTTGTGATATATTAGTTTTGATATGCAAAGTTAAAAAAAAAAAGATACGATACAAATATCATAAGGAAAAGCATGATTCGGAAAACTACAAGGTTTTGGCAACTTTTACTAAAAGATAGCTTTTCTAGCAAAAATGGTTATAATATTTATTTACTATTTTGGTGTGTTACTGTCACACCCCCAAACCGAATTGGCGGAAACATTCGAGGGTGGAGGACGTCATGTACAGTATCACAACAATGCATAATAGTAAACAAGCAATAACATCATCCATTTCATGTATAATATATTTTAATACAAGTGTGTTCTGTATAATAGCAAGACACCAAAATTGAATGATCAAAATAAAGATGAGTCTAGCTCCATCGCCACAAAACCTGGCATCGGTACCTGTCTACTGATGACCTGAGAATACAAGTTATTTTGAAAGAGAGAATCAATATTTAAGCTGGTGATTTCATAAGTATTTTAGTGTCATTGTTTGTATGAAAATGTTAGATGTAAAAGTTTATAAATGCTTGTAACTCTTAGAAAATCCTATATTTTCTACTAAAATGTAGCCTTCTACCAAGACCCAAATGTTCTGAATGTTTGTTTCTTGTAAAAGTGTGTATTTTTCCAAGTATGACTATCATTATAAAAAAATATAGTTTTACATTACCGATTATGTGAGAAGATCACAATGTGAATGCAATGGGAAAATAATAAAGTACTGTAGTATTGTGTATAATATCTACTGTTGTACTAACTACCTTAAACCAATTGTTAATTAAGGTAAAATGTGATATTATTGTAACCATACTTGATCGACTAGTAAAACACGACGCTTGTTGACGTCGAAATGGTATGACATTCGTCACCCATAGACCTGCAGGTCCTACTGTAGCTAGCAACAAGGTGTAGGACGGTCAGTCCCGTATAGATCTATACACAAATTTACGCTCTTCCTCCAGGAGACTCTGGTTACAAAACGCGGCACAGCAGAAGATTGACATACCATGAAGTAGTGGCTCACATTAATGTTATAGTATTTTAGTGTTTGTATAGTATGCTCTAGTGTATTGTATGTTCTCTCTGTACTAGTGTATATTATGTTCTCGTGAATAGTATAGTGTATGTTCTCTTAGTTTCTCATCATATTATATTCTTTTTGTTTCTCGTAATAGTAAGTTTGTATTGACTCATGAATGAACTGACTCTTGTATGTTTCATTGTACTATAAATAGTGAGTAGTAATCTCCTAAACTATACCTATTATAGTTTACTAGTAATGTTGTTTGAAGGACTGAGTGTGTTGCACTAAGATAAAAGTTGTTATATCTATATGCATATACATAATATATAACTAAGGTTCAAACGATGCTCGGACAAACAACCGGATACTCTAAGTCCACAACCAAACAAGGAACATGAAATAAAGTGAGTTATCAGTCCTAAGTTCTTTCAACCTTACTTATATAATTATATCTATATAGACATGATTTTGACAATATATAAGTTCAAAAGAGTTTAATAAAGAGTTAACATAAAAGTAGTTTTAACCATTTGAATAATAGATGACTTGATGTCAGTTTATGAAATGTTTTAAAGAGTTTGTTTGGTAAACAATTTTGAAGTATATGAAATCCACTTGTTTGTTAGTTATTAATCATATGGGATTGATATAATAAATATAATGTTTTCAACTTGTATTCCCCCCCCCCCCCCCATAAAATCATTCTAAAATCATTTAAAGGGTAGATTAAGGGGTATGAACTCACTTGCAGTGAGTGATACGAATGAAAGATAGGTTTGTAGGATGCTAAGTGTCAAGTGAAGACTTGAGCACAACGTATCCTAATAAGCGTAGAATGACACATATATGTATATAATTAGAGTTTAAACAACTAATCATGCAAGGAAAAACACCCTAGGATATAGGAAACACTTAGATTGAAGTGCTAGAAGTACCAAGGGTTGCATATAATGGGTGTATGGCCACACATTGGTGTGTACGGCCAGAATGGTGTGTTTCATGTATGTGTACGGCCAGAGTGTATGACCCAAGTGGGTGTGCGGCCGCACACTCATGGTGAAACATGCCAATGAGTGATTTAAGGTCTTATTAAGAATCTTGGAAGTGTGTTTTGACAAATGCTTAGCGTTAATGGAAGTTTATTACCATTTTGGACCTCATAAAGGGTGTGTACAACTACACAAGGAGTGTACCACCGTACACCCTTGATGATCATGTAAAAATGGTCAAAATGTATCCAAATTCTCTAAGTTGCATCCCATAAGTGTTCTTGATCATGTGCTAGCATAGAACATGAGTTTGAAGCCAAATAGTACTAAACAAAGGGGTGTATGGCCACATGGGGTGTGTACGGCCGTACACTCCTTGATGATCATGGTTTGGATGATTTCTAAGGAGCATAACTAGTAAGTAGTAAGCATGAGGAGTGGTACTTACGATATAGAAGCCTTTAGGGGTGTTTGAGGTCCAAAACTTAGTAGGTTTTCTTGGTGTTCTTGGAGAACAGTTGAAGATCTAAATAAAAGGAGTAATTTCATGGATGAAGTCATGAATCCTTACTAGATTGTGTAATGAATCAACAAATCAAAGGAAGAAACACTAACAACTTGAAGATCTAGCTGAAAATCGGATGGTACTTGAGA